CCCTGCCCTCCATGGGTTGGGCCAGCAAGGACGTGGGCTCCCTCAAAGTCAGCTCTGGAGCGTGAGTCCTGGGACTGGAACAGGGGAGATGAGAAGACCAGAGGGGCGATGGGACCAGGGAGGAGGGTGAGAAAGGGTGACGGCATGCCAAAGACACAGTCAGAGAGATGTTGGAGACTGGAGGTCAGTGGGGAGTGAGGCGGTGAGGTGCTGGGAGACTTGGAGGCAAGGGGAAGGAAGGAAGATGGTGGAGACAGTCTGGAGGGAGGGGCAGGTTATAGGAGAATAGGGAGATGACCTGGGGGTATTGGAAGGGACTGGAAACTGAGATGGGGAGGCAATGGAGGACAGGAAGAGGAGAGACGGTGATAGGGACATGTGGAGCAGTGAGAAGGGCAGGGAGAGATTTATGTAGGAAAAACAAGCAATGGTTTTGAAGCTGGGGGTTGGGAACTGAGAAGGAGAACTACTAATGGAGGACATGGGTGGAGCCTACTTACCAGCCTTTTGCCCTCTCTGGTCTAGGTGGGTGGCCTACCAGTACCCAGGCTACCGGGGCTACCAGTATGTATTAGAGCGGGACCGGCACGGCGGGGAGTTCCGTACCTACACCGAGTTTGGCACACAGGCCCACACTGGGCAGCTGCAGTCCATTCGACGAATCCAACAATAACCCCCATGGCCCCCTACCTTCCCTAAGGACCCGCAATAAAGCCTCCTGAAGCTGCCTGTCCCTCTCACCTCTTTTTTGGTGTCTCTCTTTGTGATTTTTATCCTCATCTTTCTGAGGTCCTTGCCTGCCAACCTGACCCTCTGTTCATGCTCCAGGACCCTTGGTTATGGAGCACAGACTGGCTCAGGATGTGTGTGGCTAGACTGCAATGGGGCTGAGAGGAAGCTGCTGATAAGAACCCTGGGCATCCTGCTAGCTACAACTAGTCCCACCCTGCTCCTTGGTAAATAAATGCCCATGGGCTTGGGCCAGGGTGCTGCGGCCAAATGCCACCTTTGCCACCCACCGGCTGGGGTGCACACAGCCCCACAGCAGGGCGCAAAGCTGAATTCAACCTGCACCGCCCGCCCCCAGGACAGGCACTGTCATGCAGGGCAGGATCTCCTTAACTCTGGGCAGGAGCTCCCTCGGGTTCCTCTCTAACAGTCTTCCTTGTCCCCGCAGCTCCCTCTTCAGCTAGGGGAGCCTGTACCCCTTCCCAGCTTTATAGACTCTCTGTCTTATAGAAGAGCAAGAGTGTGAGAGGAGAAATCAGTGGGCAGTTCCACTGTCTCCAGGACCTTCTAAGGAGGAGACTTCCTCTCTCTGAGCAGAGCTTCCAGACCCTTCGTCTGAATAATAGTGATCCTGATCTCTCACAGGGTTTGAGCTCCAGCATTTACAAAGCATTTCATACCCGTCCTCTCTACTGCTCCAAACAACCCGCTCTTTATCCTCTTTCTCCCTACTCTTCAGAGAACTGGGGAGCTGGGGAGAGAGTGCCTTAGCCGCTGAACACTGTGAGCCTGGGTCCTGGGGCAGGTGGCAGAAGCCCACAGACACAGTGGGACTGAGTGTGGCAGCAGCCACAGAGCCCCTGCGACCAGTGTATTTCCTTCCCAGCTTCCTCTTTTGTCCAGTCAGTAATCCCTCAGTCCCACACTGGTGTGGCCTCTGAGGCCCTGGGGGCTCTTCTCATCCTGTCCCTCAGGGAGCCTTGGTTCTCGAAGGCCCTAGTGGACCTGTCAACGGGGAGGGGTGGACCAGGTCATTGCCCCAGCCGAGGGGAGACAAGGCAATGCTGGAGGACAGTCAGACCTGAACCCGGCATTGCCCTTGGGCCCAACTGTGCAAACGCAGGCATCTGCTTCCCATGCAAAGTGCCCCGCACCAGAAGTGGGAACACCAGCAGTCAGACCCCGTCAAGTAGCACCCCTGAGCCTCAGTGTCCTCTGTAAACTGGGGCCACTGGTGCTTACCCTGACTGTGTCGCAAGGGTGTTGTGAAGATTCGATGAGAACCCCTGAAAATGCTCCTGGTGTTACGGGAGAACCCTGGGGCAGCCAACCAGGGCTCTCCTTTCCCCGGCTCCCCACTGTGGGTTAGGTCTGGAAGCCAAGGGACAGAGCTCTGCGGGGGGTCTAGAGTCCACAGGCCCTGTCTCAGTGGATTGTCCTAGCACATTCCATGCTTCATCCACTTCACCAAGGAAGAAACTGGAGCCCCCTGAGAGGCAGAAGCCTCAGTGAGGTCAGCCACTTAATTAGTGACTTGAACAAGGGCTCCTGACCCCAAATCTGGGCCCAGTGGAGGCTGATCTGAGCTGCGTGCGGCTTAGAGCCTCAGGCCTCAGCGAAGATCCAGACCTCTAGGGGCCCCAAAGATGCCTGGGGCTCCTGCCCCGTCACGGGTCCCTGCCTCCTTGGGGGATGGCAATAGTAACAATAGCTAAATGTACAGAGTCTTGTCCGAGCAGTCAGTGTCTGTTATATAAGCCTTAACATTCTGTATGGTAGCTACTGTAATCCCCATTTTTCGAGTGAAGAGATTAAGGTAGAGAAGTTCTGTGACTCTCTTAAAAGTCACAAAGCAGGAAATGGGGGACCCAGAGTTGAATCCAGACAAACTGGCCCCAGAGCCCAGCAGCCCATCTCCCCCACTCCCTGTTCTGGGGGGAAGACAGTGGGCAAAGGGAAATCTGGCTGAGCTACCCTCCCCCTGGGAGAGTCAGCAAGGCTTCAGGGATTGGCAGTGTGACCCCGGACAGGGCACTACCCGTCCCTAGGTGACAGTGTCCTCAACTGTATGACCAGGGTGTTGAGGGACCTAGTATTTGTGACAACCTTTGTTTTGCTGGAGCAGGGATCTGACTCTGCTCCCCACACTGGCAACTACGGAGGCCAGGCCGGGCTGGGCCCGAGTGTCTTTGCCTTCTCATTGCACACAGGCGGTGGTTTGCTGAACCCTGTGGGACCTGCAGAACCCCTGCCTTGGCCTTGCACTGTGGCTGCACTCGGCCAAAGGCCAAAGGGGATGGAGAAGGGCAATTTCTTACTCGTGCAGCCAAGACCCAGTGCGTTGGAGGACTGCTCTCATCCGCCGCCCCACCCATTCACACTCGTGCATAAACTCTTCCTGGAGCCTGCCCCCCCCTTTGACACCTGAGTCCTCAGTGAGGGCTCACCGCCTGAGATGTTGATCCTTCAGTTCTGAGCTGGGGTGCCTGGGTGGACCCCTCGCTCCGAGAGCCTCTCCTTCGTGCCTCAGCCTTTGGCTGAGCACCTCGAGGGGCTGAACCTTGGTGCCTCGCCCCCTCCCAGGTCTGACCTACGCCTTGTTTTCTACCTTGGGAAGTGACAACAAGGCATGAAGAAGAGGCACTGGAACCTCGGTCCCACTCTCAAGGCCTTCCCCTTTTGTGAAGCTGTGAGTTTGGTCTCCAAGGAGCATCCCAACCCCTCACCTTTGCCTCCACAGGCTCCCACATGCACATACTGAAGCCCCCATCCTTGTCCCTTTAGGACCTTCTGGGGCCTTGGGATTCCTCATTTCCCTCTATTTTCCGCTTCCCATGCTCTGCCACGGTTCCTTTGGACCTTCGCACCCTCTACCATGGAGACAAACACTCCCGCAGTCACAGCAGGAACCCAAGGAGCTAGACTTCCCGGCCACTCAGTCAGGCACCGCAGGACCAGGGACGGTGCAGAAAACCTGCCCACTCACCCCACGCCCTGGAGTCCCAGGCCTCGCGCCTTCTGGGCTCAGACAGTGGGAGGAAAAGACCTGGAGAGCACCAGTGGGCACGGGGAGCCTGGCCCAGGGCTTCGTCTTTAGCTGGCATCCCTCCTTAGCAGCCTCTCCAGAGTCAGGAAGCCCCGCAGGTACCCAGAGACTCCAAGCCACCTGGGAACCGCACCAGTTTTGCTAATCCACAATGGGCATCTTTGTCCACTTTTCGGAGTGGATTTCAGCCCCCACTCCCCCTGCACCGGGGCCCTTGTACAGTAGTACATCAGGCCTCTACACCCAGAAGAGCAAGGTGCCGATGGCCACCGGGTTCAGGGATAACCGGAGGGCAGTACTTGTGGTGGAAGTGGAAGGGGCGGCCTGAGCTTTATGCCACAAATTAGTAGGGAGTAGGGATGAATGAGGAACGGAGAAGGCAGGTGAGGAAAAGGACGGGGGAGGAGAGAGGAGGCAGGAGGGGGGCTGGGAGTAGGACAGACTAACTGGGAAAAGGCGAGACCTAGAAAGGGGGGGCAGCCCGCTCGGAGTTGTTGGGGAGACGCCCCAGCGCTGGCCGGGAGGCCCGGGGACCCTGGAAAGGCTGGAATCGGGTGAAAGCAAGAGGCCAACGGGGAAGGAGAGCAGGTCTCCAGGGAAGAGCAGAGAGTGGGAGAGGAGGAGGAGGAGGGAGAAGGCTCCGGGAGGGGGGTGCGGAGATAAAGGGAGCCACCGCCGCCTGGCCCGGGAGCGCAGCGACAGGAGAGAGGGAGGGAAGCGGAAATTTAAAAGTGAAGATGCAGATAACGCAGCCTGGAGACGGGAACCCGGGTGGGGGTGGGGGGAAAGGGAGGGGGAGGAGAGTGGGGCGGTGAGGTGGGTGGGAATGGTCGGGAAGAAGGAGCTGTGGCTTTGGGAGTCCGAGGTGGGGCCGGGTACTCCGCCCCATCGATGTTTGCCAGGAGTCAGGGAGGCGGAAAAGAACAGCGCTCCTGACCCCTGTCGTAGCGCGAGGCCCAGGCCCATCCCCCGCGCGTCTCCGGGCTGCGGGGCGCGGGGGGCGGCCGGGTGCGCTTGGCTGCTGCGCGGCGTGTTGGAGACTTTATTGCGATGGGGCGATAAGAGGGGCGGGGGCGGGGTCCCGGGGGCCGAGGCGACAGCGCTTTAATTAAAACGGAAATTGCGGCCCCTGCCCGCGCGGGGGGCCGAAGGGTTCCAAGCTGCCTGGTGGCTCGGAGCGTCGTTCCAGGACCCCCGCCACACCCGGCCAGCCCCCTTCCGCCAGGCCCTGCTGGACCTGGCGCTGCCTTCATCTCCCAGTACCCACAGTCGCCTCGGGCGGGGATCGGTACCCCGGAGCGCAAAGCCTGACGCGTCCCCCCTTTCTCATCCCCACCCCCACCTCCCACCGCCCAGCCTCTGGCGGCGATGAGACAGAGCGGCACCTCCCAGCCCCTGCTGATCAACATGTACCTGCCAGGTACCAGGGACCAGCCGGGGGCTGGAGGCGCCGGGACCCGGGGCTGGAAGTCTGGTCTGGGGCACGGGAAAGAGGTTGCTGGGGTCCCGGGGAAGGGGCGCGGTCCAGAGACTCGGACTGCTGGGAGGATGGAGCAGTCTCGGGCGTCGGAGGACGTTAAAAAGCAGATGGGGAGCTTTGGGGCTTTCGTGTGAGGTCTACAAGCCTCGAAGTGAGCGGATCGGGAGGCTAGCAGGCGGAGGGCGCCAGCTCGGGGGCTGAAAGAACCTAGAGGAGAAACAGGGTCCTCGGTGTGGCGGGGGGCTCAGTGCGCCTGCAGTGTCGGGAGGCCGCGGTCGGCCGGGCGTCGCCCCTGCACCCTCGTGGCTCCTCACCTCGGTGGTCCGAGCTTTCCCGCAGGCCCAGCCTTCCAGGCGCGCTCCTCTCCTCTCCTCTCCGATGGTCTCCGTGCGCTTCGGCTCAGCTGGCGCAGTCCCGGCTCGGCTTTATAAGGCTCACGCCGGCCCGTTGGGAAAGCGGATTTCCTTTTTCCTGGACGCGTTTCCTGACTTGGGCGTTATGGAGGGGCTCTGTGCGGCGCGCGCCGGGGCCAGGCTCCGGGAGGAGGAGCCGGGCAGCTCGGGCCCCCAGCCTCACGCCGGGAACCAAGGCGCCCCTTCTCGGGCCTTGGCCCCGGGGCCCTTTGGGTCAGGCCCACCACCGCCGCCTGCATCCGCCGACTGTTATCTTCTGCTGCCACAGATCCCGTCGGAGACGGTCTCTTCAAAGAAGGGAAGAGCCCGGGGTGGGGGCCACTGAGCCCAGCGGTACAAAAAGGTGAGCTGGCTGGAGGACTGGGTGGGTGGGGGCAGGACCGTGGACAGGAGCCAGGGCAGCCGCCCAAGAAGGACAGGCGCTAACACTCCCAGGACAGAGGATGGAAGAGATGCACCGCAAGGCTCTAGGAAGAGGAGGGTCCGGGCACAGTTGTGGGGAGGATTGGGGGCGGGGCATTCCTTTGGCCTTGACCTTCAGCGCTGGACTTGCAGACCAGGGCAAAGGGAGAGAATCCTGGCCTTCACCCACGCTTTAGGGACTAGGGCTGAGGCGCTCGGAGTCCTTTGCCTGCTAGCAACACGAGCACAGGCTCTTCCCTCGCCCTGGCCCCCCGCCCCCGCACCGCTGGTCAATGGGACCGAAGATTTACTCCCTGGCCACGAGCACCACTAGCAAGGATGGGAGGGGGCAGCCAGCACCTACCTGTCTCACAGAACAGCAGCAGCCAGGCTTCCCACGCTCCCTCTCCCCACCCAGCCCGCCACGTTCGCTGGGTCATTGCAGCTGATTCCTAGGTTCAAAGCCAGCTCTCTGCAGGTAAATCACTCTCTGCTTTGCCTTGATGATGGCGGGGACTTACGGGCCTTCCGAGCAAAGCCCTCCCCACTGCCCCCCACCCAGTCAGTCCCCTAAACCTCACAGTTACAGTATCCTTAAAAACGAGGGTGGCAACAGCTCTGTTCAAAAGAGAACGCAACCCCCAAGAGGAATGCTCTCCCAAGCCTCTGACGTGGCTCGGCATCTGTACCAGCGGCACATCTTCACCCAAACGGCCCTTTGTCGCTGGTCCTAACACTCAGCGTCCCCACCGGGAGCCAGGCAGCTGCTGCTGGGCTCCCGAGAGGGACCGGGGTTGAAATTGTGGAGGGCAGTGTCTGGGTTCTGACGAGTCACTGAAAAAGGAAGAGAGGTTCCCCAGGCTCAATTTGAAGCAATAGCCAGACAACATTGAGGAAAAATGTATTTTATTCTAAAAGGAGGGTGGTGGTGGTGATTGTATCGAGAGTTTTCTTGGCTTTTCTGATCGCGACTCCGGGACAAGGCAGTGGGCGTTCTGGAGCATCTTGCTCTCATCACACAAGTATCTGGGGAAAACCTCCTTGCCGCTCCCAACACCCCCAGACTCAGGAGCCTGGAGACGGACAGAAGAGGAGCTCAGGCAGGGGCCTGGGCAGAGAGGCCTCGAGGTCCCAATCCCTCTCCTCAGAGCTGTGCACCCTCTGGGGAAACACGACAACTGTGCAGTCCTGGGAATCCCGCCTGTTCCGAAAAAAGAAACCGAACCTATTAGTGCTGGTGCAGCAGTCTGCGCACTGGAGTGCGGTGAAGATGGAGAGCCTTCGGAGCCTGGCCCTCCTCTCTCGCACAGGGGGCCACTGTCCCCATGCCTGTGTGGTGCGGTGAGGCGTGGAGGCCAGACGTCACCTCTCCCGCACCTCTGGTGGGACGTGCGACTGTTTGCCTTTAGGCGCTGGGCCTTGTCCAGTGGCCTCGGTGGTCCTGCTGCGTGCCTGCCCCCTCTCTCTGGATCCCTGGGTCTCCGGATGCGGCCCAGCTGGGATCTGGCAGTTTAAACACCGGCTGGGCTACCGCTGGGGTTGTGCGGGCTCTGGCCTGAGTTAGGGCCCCAGGCCCAGGTGGCCACAGGGGCTGACTTCCTGTCCTTGTTCACATCAGGGAGCTCAGCGTCTTGCTGCCTCGCTGCCTCCATGCAGAGGGGTTAATGCTTCGCCCTCTGCTCCCAGTTCTTACAAAGCCACGCACCCGCGGGGCTGTGTACTCCTAAGTGGGAGGCGTGTTTTCATTGCGCGAAAAAGCGCGGTAATGGCAAGGATAGCTTTGCCGGTCAGCCCCTCTCTGGCCAGCCGCTTCAGCTGCGCCCAGCTGCAAGCCGAACGTGTCCTTTTCCTCATGGACGCCGGTTTCCTCGGGTTGGGCCCGTCTCCCATCTCGCCCCTTTCCCCGCCTTCAGCCTCCCCTCCCGTCCGTGGCTGACTGCCTCCCCTTCCCCACAGGCAGTGGGCAGATCCAGCTGTGGCAGTTTCTGCTGGAGCTGCTGGCGGACCGCGCCAACGCCGGCTGTATCGCGTGGGAAGGTGGCCACGGCGAGTTCAAGCTCACGGACCCAGACGAGGTGGCGCGGCGCTGGGGCGAGCGCAAGAGCAAGCCCAACATGAACTACGACAAGCTAAGCCGCGCGCTGCGCTACTACTACGACAAGAACATCATGAGCAAGGTGCATGGCAAACGCTACGCCTACCGCTTCGACTTCCAGGGCCTGGCGCAGGCCTGCCAGCCGCCCCCGACCCACGCCCAGGCCGCCGCCGCTGCGGCCGCCGCGGCCGCCGCCGCCCAGGACGGCGCGCTCTACAAGCTGCCGGCCGGCCTCGCCCCTCTGCCCTTCCCCGGCCTCTCCAAACTCAACCTCATGGCCGCCTCCGCCGGCGTCGCGCCTGCCGGCTTCTCTTACTGGCCGGGCCCGGGCCCTGCCGCCACCGCCGCCGCCACCGCCGCGCTCTACCCCAGCCCCGGCTTGCAGCCCCCGCCCGGGCCCTTCGGCGCGGTAGCCGCCGCCTCGCACTTGGGGGGCCATTACCACTAGACGGGCGGCCGGGTGCGCACGGCCTCTCCGGGGCGCCCAGAGCCCCGCTGAGTCCGGTCCACGTCCTGGGGAGGAGTCCCCGGCGCCTCCCGGACGCTCCTCCGACCTCGGATTTGACTCCATCCTTCGCCGCGCCCAGCCCCGGGGGAAGGGACCCGCAGCCCTCGCAGTTTTCCCTGGACGCCGGACTTCCCCGGCTCCCTCTGCCCCAACCTCTGGGGGAGGGCGCCCCGGCCCCTCACTCCCTCTGCCTGCACCTTCTTCTAGACTCCAGCTCACTGCGGGGAGGCTTTCAGGCCTCCCCGGCGTCTCTTCCCCCGACCTGCCCTTGGGCCTGGCCCCTGGAAGCCCCCTCCAATACGACCCCTCTCTTTCCAATTCCAAATCTTTTCGCACTTTTTCTCTTCCCCACGGGGCTGCCCCGATCCCAGTGGGGTGGACGCCCCTCACGGGCCACCTTCTCCTCCTGGGCACCTGAGCGGGGGCTTGGGAAGGGCCACCGAGGGGGCATCCGGGGCCCCCGCCTCGCACCCCGACTCTCGCAGACGCCCGGCGTGTCCCCTTCCCCCCCAGACCCATTAAAGCTCCCGAGTTGCCCGCTGCCTCCTCTCTCAGTTCTTTGCTGCACCGGAACCTTGCTTTTTTTTCAGGGAGGAACGAAGTGAGATGCCCAGCTCAGGCCTGAGCGGAAAGGCCTGACGGGACAGCTGGAGGGAAAGAGGACGAAGCAGGCGGGGTGCTCGCTGCGGGAGGCGAGCGGGAGCCCGGGGGGGGGGGCGGGCCCCGCCCGGAGGGACACGCCCTCCCTGCTGCAGCCCACCCCTCTCCAAACACACGCGCGCGCCCGGCAGGGGGCTCCAGTCGGCCTCGCCCAGCCTCCCGCCCGCCCCTTCGCCCCACTGCATCCCAATCCCGTCCCAACACGCCTGGGGCGCCCACCTTTCCCCGTCCGGCCCGTCCTCATCCCAACCTACCGCCCACCTCGTCTCGTCCTCACTCAATCTCGACCTTCCCTCGCCACTGCCATTCCAACCTCTTCTAACCCTCGCTGACCCTGTCTCGCTCACCCTCATTCACAAACCGCCCCCTGCCCACATTATTTTCCGTCGTGATCTCTGGATCTGCCTGCTCTTTTTCAGAAGGAGGGACACCCCCGCCCGCCCACCCGCCGAGCCTGCCACTCCCAGCCTTGCAGCGGTGGCACCTTCTCATGGGTGGGGTGCGCCCTCTGCTGGTCAGAGGAGGGGAAGCCCAGGTCAGGTTTTGCAGCTAAGCCCGGGAAGGTTTTGCACCCGGCGTGTTAGAACCTCAGGTGTCTCCCCTAATCGAGGGCCAGAGGACCGCGACGCTTCCAGACTACCTTTGGCCTTCCGAGAGGAAAGAAAAAAGAGGGAACCCCAGCACTGTATCCCAGGTCCGGCCTTAGGAAGTCCGGGAAGCGGACCAGATGGGTCATTTTTCTGGCTGGACCCTTTCCCTCACCACCTGGAGGCCCCTCTCAATGTTGCACCAAAGGGGCCCACAGGTCTTACGCTCTCTCTGCGCCTTTTGCAAACCTATTGGCAGGGAAACTCCCCTAAACGCGTTCCCATAGACGGAGACGACACTGGGGAAGGTACCCAAAGTGACAGCTGGGCTCCAACCAGGCAACCCCTTTGCCCCCCCTTCCCCTGGGTCCTGGAGTTTCTTTCCCAGGGGCATGTCTCTCCCTGAAGCAAAGACCCCCGCTGGTTGGGGGAGAATGCGTGGGCTCCCACAGGGCGGTGAGGAGATTTCCCCGTGCCCGTGGGAAGGAAGGAGAAATGCAGGTGGAAGGCCGGACAGTCAATGGCCGAGAGCCCAGGTGTCGCTTCCCAAAGAGCGTTGAAGAACTCACCACCCAGTCCTCCTCAGGGAAGGGTCTTGATTTCTTTTCATTTCATTTTCACTTTACTTTCCTGGGTTCCCAAAGAGTGCATACTCAGCATAGAGAATTTGGGAAATACACACATAAGGCCTCCATTAAATATTAGTTAGATGAAGAGTGTAACGAAGCATGAGAAAAAGTTGCCGACAGTCCCACGACACAGAGGCTACTATTTGTAACACTTGTCACTCCCTCTTGCTTTTTCTCTATGCCTTTTGTAATTCAACAGTATCCTGCTCTGGTCACCTAACATCTGGGGTAACCATGTTCTGTGTCATTGTGCCCTACAGACCTCACAAGATGGGGGGGGTGGGCTCACGTATTCCAGGGGGCAGATGAGCCCGGGGAGCAGTCCTTGGTGACCTGGAGGGAGAGGCAAAGGGCCTCTTTGCAGGGGGCTGAAAGCTGGGAGGGAGAAGGAATGGGCTAAGGATACAGAACCATGTTCCAGCAAGAATTCTGCTCAGAATTACGGGTTGAGTGTAACAAGGCGGACTTTTCCGGCAAGGAGTGTGAGGCCCCGACTTAGGTCCCTGAGAGAAGTGACAGGAGGCTAGCCTGCGAGGCGTGGTGAGGCCGGGGCTCAGTGGAGCCCCCGTGCAGATTTGTGGTGTCTCAGTCGGGACACTGAATGGGAGCCTGTAGGGTGAAAAATCGCCGAGATCTGAGGATGCACTGACGGAGCAGTGGCATCCAGGATAAAGGACATTCGCCCTGGCTCTAACCAGGGTGCCCCGGGCATATTTTACACGGTGTCAGATAACACTTCCAGGAGAAGACCAAATGGAGAACACACAGAGTAGAGGAAGCAGGAAGTGAAGAGGAAGAATGCTGAGGAAGCAACGATGGGAGCTGTAGTCTGGAACATCAAAGTGGGGAGAGGGGCGTGGAGCTGTCCTCAGCTACTGGGAGAGCTGTGCTGTGGCAGAGAACCGGGATGTATGTGACTAAAAGCAGTGTGACCGGGGAGCGTGGTAGGAAGCTACAGTAAGACAGGTACATCGAATGGATCTAAGGAAGAACCTTCTTCCGTGGAATGTGTCAGATGAGGAAAGCTCTGTCACCGGAGTGCTCAGCAGACCCTTCCTTGGGGGACTGCGAGGGGAGGCGGACTGGGTGACCTCTCCAACCTTGAGACGCTTGCAGGCCTGCAAGTGAGTGAGTAAGAGAGAAATTTCAGGCATCAGTGGGCAGCTGGGAGAGGTGTTGGTAGCTTAGGGGGGGCCTTCTTACCTGTGACATCACTTCCTTAAGTCTCGCCCCGCCCCTCTGTTCTTTCTCACACACCGAGCCAGATTGGGAAGCTAAGAAATAGGACTGGGAACCGGAAGAACCTGAGTTCCAGTCCCAGCTTGGCGACAAACTCACTCTGTGACCTTCGGACCGTCACATCTCTGGTTTTCCATTCACTGTGGTCTCAGCACAACTCTGTTCCACCCAGGCCCTGAACAGTGCCCTCTGTTCCGCCCAGTGCGCACTGTTACCGCACTCAGTTTCCTGGTGTTCTGCGCCAGTCCTCACCAACCTTTCCTTGGTCTCTGGCCCTTCAGGATATTGATTCCATCACCATTTCCCTCTCCCAGTCCAGTGCCTCTTGCACTCCCTGATTCTGAGACTCTGTCCTATCTCCTCATTCATGTTCTCGGTGGAAATATGCGGTCCCTGCCAAATGCTGTGACTGCAGAATTTACAAAACACTTTCACATCCATTGTTTTATTAATTCATTGTGTTACTAATCCTCTCCAAGCTTAGGGAGGAGACAGGGCACGGGTTGCTTTATCCACTCGTAGGATAAGTAAACCAAGGCCTAATATTTTGAGACCTCCCAGGGCTTGTTCTAAGACCCATGTCTTCGGGTTCCTCCCCAGGCCTCGTGCCGGTGCTTTGGGTGATTTCTCCTCGGTCCTGAGCCGCCTTCTGGACCCTTGCTGTCAGATCAAACCCCTCCACCCCCAGGACCGCACAGACCCATGTCTCCTCCAGGGATGCGCGCCCCACGCGACCAAGCTCCACTTGCCTTCCCGGGCAGATGGAATCAAAAGCCCCACTCAGCACGCAGTGTGCGGACATCCATGACCACACTGCCTGAGACCCGCACAGTCACAGCAATGATGCCCCCTAGGGCACCGAGGCTCGCAGAACACAGTCACGCACGTTAGCTCCTGTGACCAGACAGACATCAGAACGGCTGCTGCGAGGTACTTTTCTGAGGGCCTTCTGCTTCTCTGGCCTTTATCGCTCCTTCACCGTGTCCTTAAAAGGCACTTAACTTCCGCTTATTTTCCTGCCTGTTTATAACTCATACCGAGCGGAACTGCTGATAATAACAATGAGCTGTGCCACACTGATTGAACTCCTGACTCCGAGCCAGGCCCTGCCCGTGTGAGTGCTCTCCGTGTGGCAGCTCCTCTGCCTGGTCACGGCTGCGCCTCTATCTTCAGATGAGAGAACTTAGGCTTGGAGAAGTGACTGGCCCAGCTTGTCACCTCAGAGGCCGCGTCCTCAGCATCACACCAGGTCCCTTCCCCTTGGGCCTTCCTGGACCGCTTCTTCCTCATGTAATTTGATCTGTTGCTTGGTTGTTGTAGGTGTGCTTTGTCTAACTGTCCAATCATAGTCGAAATGGTTGATTACGATGGATGAGATGATAGCTTGTTTTGTATTATTTTGGTCTTATTAAGTGTGAGAAGTATAACGTTATTGCTAATATTATTTTTATTGAATCCACATAATAATCAGGGGATATAAACATCACTATCATCCCCACTTTGTAGATGAAAACGAAGCCCTCAAATCATGGGGCCCGCAACTGATAAAGAACAAAGCAGAGACTGTTTCATCGCCCTCTGTCTTTTGCAAGCCTTCACTTTTCTTTTCTTTTCTAAAATTTTTCAGAGAGAAGGGAAGAGAGGGAGAAAGGGAGAGAAACATCAATGTGCGGTTGCCTCTCATGCACCCCCTACGGGGGACCTGGCCTACAACCCAGGCATGTGCCCTGACTGGGAATAGAAGCAGTGACCCTTTGGTGTGCAGGCCAGTGCTCAGTCCACTGAGCCACACCAGCCAGGGCAGGCCTTCACTTTTCTGACTGTG